AATGGGAGAAGACTAATCATGACTTAGAAAGATCTTATAATTAAAAACACGTAATATAGGGCCCTCCCTGGTGGCGCAGTGGGTTAAAGCACAGCACTAAGAAGCTAAAGCCACTTCCGCATGAGTTCAATCCCTGCCTGCCCCAGAGGTGACCACATGGCGTGGCAGACCTCTCCTGACCCGCCCGCTGCTCCCCTCAGCACTGTACTTCTCAGTCAACTCAGTCAACCTGTTCTGCTCCTCATTCTGTCTCTGGTGAATCCTATCACCCTCCACATCTCTGGCCTGTACCCTATTTCTGTATGAATAAATAAATAAATCTTCAAAAAACAAAAACACATAATATAATCTAAAAAATCGATATAATCTAAAAAATAAATATAATCTAAGAAATTTGAATTAAAATCCAGCTAAGAGTTTCTGCAACATGGAACATTATTATCTGTGTGACCCACTTTGATACAAAGCATAAAGGTACTAATGAGAACAGTAAGGTCTTTAAACATTTATTCATTTAATTATTGTTTTTTAAAGATTTATTTATTTATGTGTACATAATAGAGAACTGGGGTACAGGCCAGAGGTCTCTGGCCAGATTCACCAGAGTCAGAGTGGGGAGCAGAACAGGAAGATCGAGGGAAACAACTTGCATGGAGCTTTGAGCATTTATCCAGCCACTCAAGTTTTTAAGTTTTAAGAAACCTGAAGACGGCAGAACCCTGGCAAGCCCCCGAGGGATTCTGGAAGAAATGAACGAGTAGTAAGATGGAAGTGAAACTACAGACGTCCCCATCTCACAAGGCTTCACTTAGGAACGTTCAACTTTATCATACAAAAGCCGTGACCATTTGGAAGCAGCCACCCTTTGGCGTTTTGGGCTTTTTCCTGAGCTAGCTCTTTGCAGTGAGACACTCTCCTGAGGTGCCAGGCAGCGTGAGGGTGAAACATCCTCTGTAGGGGCACAGTGTCTGTGTGTTTGACTTAGCCATTTTTGGTGATGACAGGCTTACTGGGACCGTTACCATTTCGTAGATCAAGGAAGCCTGGCCTGAGATGAGGACAGGAGGAACACAGCGTGGGACAGGAAGGCGGCTGTAGACAGCGTGGGGTGGAATCACAGACTAGAAAAGCCAGAAAGAGGGCTCAGGTCTCACTGAGCGTGGCAGACCTTGGCCACGAACCACTGCTTCTCCCACCTCTAGTTCCGCTACAGATTTGCTTCTCATATGAAAAAGAAATGTTTTCTTTAGCTTTAGTCTTTTTGATATCCATAGATGGAATCCCCGGGACAGGAGTTCAGCCAGATCCACTTTATCCTCTCTAAAGTCTGTATTTAGTCATGGACAACTATGTATTACTCTCCAAAGAGCTCATTGACCTCAGTAAGTATTGCACCTGAAAATGAGATCATTCCTTGTACTTACAATGGAAATCATGAACGTATAAATGCGTGACTAACACAAGCCTTGATTTTTCAAAGAATCACTCTTCAGATCTGTTCAGCCAGGATAATGTATGTTAGTTCCAAGCTCTCTTCGCTTCTAGTCTCCTCTTGCTCTAATCCAACCTGCTGGGAAAGTAACCTCCCCTAAAAGCTTTGTGACTCAAAGTGGGGTCCATGCACTGCCGTGGAGAACAGCCTGGAAGCTGGAAGCTGATGGCAGACACCATCCCACTCAGACGCACCAGCCCAGAATCTGTGTTTCAGTAAGGTCCCGGGCAATTTGGTGCATGTTATAGTTTAAGAAGTCCTGCACATTTGAAACACAAACGAGACACTGTGCCTGATTACAAACCCCAAAGTTTGCCCGGCCTGGGGCACAAAGCCCAGGGAGACTCTCAAGGCCTCCAGGACCCTTTCTCTCTGACATCCTGCTGCTTCTCCATCTCCATCTAGTCTCAGGGCACACACAGCCTTTCCTGATGGCCTCTTTCCTGATGACCCCTTGTGCCTGTGCTTAGCTGATTAATTCCACCACAACCATCCTCCCTTGATGAGCCATAACCAGCAGCCAGAGTCCTGCCACCTTCTCCCGGAAGCCAGTCTGATGAAGGCCCCATGCACCAATTCCCACAAGGCTGTCTGGACTGCTAAAGGAACTGACTGGATTTTACATTTTTACCCTTAAATTGTTACTTACACATAATTAGCTTATAAAAACTACCTGAAGTATAAAATCTTACCTGATTCATTTTTTTTTTTTTTTTGCCTTGCCAACGTTATATAGTGGGGGCTCAGTAAAAAGCTTATTGAATGTTTGAATCTACAGACCTATACATGAATACATGAATAAATGAATATATTAGCACATCTATTTAAATATCATACATTAATAAATAAAGGCAATCTTAAATTTATGATAGTTGTTTCAGGTCGCTAGCCTAGAAGTTCTTGAAATGACACTTTCAGAAAACAAGAGATTTCTGACTTGCACAAACATTTAGCTACATCCTCGGCAGCTCTGGGAAGCAATCACATCATTTCCATACTAACAAATGAAAATTTTTATAGTGGCTGTACAGGGACACGAGAAACACTGAGTGAAAATGAGCATATTCCCAGCCTAGCACAAGGCGCTTTATTCAAAAGGAGTAAATCATCATCCTTTCTGCAGCTAAATTTCTGCCAATGTGAGATGAATAAACTCCTCTTGGAAATTACTCCTATGAAATTACTTCTTCTGGGACACTTGATAGTATATTCTGGTACCCCTGAAAAATTAATTAACCTTATCCATAACAACCTAACCCCTAAACCATTTGTAGAGCTTTTACTGCAGGTCAGGTTAATCTTCTCTACCTTAATTTACACCCAAGCGAGGGTGATCTAAATCGTACTGGGCCTTTTGGTCACCGGGATGTGCCTTGTGCCATTTCGGCAGATGACATTCTGCTCACGTCCAGGTGAGTGCATCTTTTTGAAAATGGCACACCTCAGGGTTCTCCAAGGAGGACTGTGACACTCTTTGGGGGTGGGGAGCAGAGCAACACTGCTGGATTTAGAAGAGCTTGTGGGGCGATGCGTCCTGTGTGCCTGTCCGAGAGCCCGTCCACGCAGCGGGGAGCAGTCTTCTGCACACCAAATCCTACCCTCTGCGATGCTGCAGCCACAAACGTCGCTCTGTGGCTCATGACTGGAAATTCAGAACACAGCTGCCAGGAGGGGTTGGACGAGGCTATGACTATTGTCTAGTCCTGTTGGGGGTATCTCTGAGAAAAGCTAGATTTTCAGAGCCTTGGCACCGAAAGACACAGGGTAGCAGCTCCAGGATTGATGACCGTAGTGGGTTTTTCCAACTCCCTTTCTGTTATCCAAAAGATCTCTAACATGTGTACTCGTGTTATTATCAGGAGTCAGAAATTACTGAAAATGCCTTGACTGTGGAACTGGAATTCGGGCCCCTGGCTACTTGCTGTGGAAGTAAAATCTTCCCGTAACCCTGGGTTTGAGGAACATTCACTCCTCAAGAGGCTCACGACACAACTGCTTCCATAAAAGGAAGATTTCTGAACTAGCCAAGAGTCGGAAAACATTATTACAAATAATAGTCATTATTCTGTCCTGTTTTAACACACAGAATTAGTATCATTAATACTCATTATTAATAACAATACACATATCAAAAGTGAAGCAGGCAGTGGATTCAAATGCAAGACACAGAGCAGTGTGGGATGAAAAAATGTTTCCCCTACAGATGAAGAGACAGCAGCTCTTTGTAGGAAAGGCTGTTAGCCCCCTAAAGTGCCACCCCCCAGCCCAAAGGGGACATGTGTCTTCTTTTGTTAACTGGCCTCTGATGGGCTTTGTCCTCCCGAGTGTGAGCTGCTTTCAGTTGGAATTAATCAGCGAGGCAGCAGTGATGAGGCCACGGCAAACGCTGACAGCCCCAGCGAAAACGCTTCCTATCCCCACCCGCGCCGGCGAAGGACAGGGCTGGAACAATGGAGCTAATGATGGAGCTCTGGAAGCTATCATTTTGAATCAGGCCATTACTTATGCCACACTTGTGAAAATCAAGCCAGGCTCATGCTCTTCTCTGTTTAGCAGGCCCAGTTGCATCCATGGGCTTGGCAGGCCCCTAGTGCACTGAGGGCTGCAGAGGCCCTGTGGCCACTGCGCATCTGCCGGGGTTGAGCGCTGTTCCAGGCGGCACAGTGACCACAGTCTGTCGTGGGCCAGCCCTGCACACAGTCCACTGTGCCGGAAGATGTAGCTTTGGAGTCCGCCTGCACCAGGGGTCTGTTCTGGGAATTCCCCCGCCCTAGTGGGGGAACCTCTGCTGACATACCAGAGCCATCCTGGCTCCCATTCTTACCAGTCCATGTAAGTCTAAAGCTTGTGATAGCACTTCAGGCTGCTTGAGCATCCTCATGACATGGCTGCCAGCTTCCTCCAGCGTGAATGCCCACACCACCATGACCAGCAGACATCACAGGTCTTATGAAAATCTTGCTGGATTTTATTAGTCACTCAGACCCACCCTGATGAGTTGTGGGAGAGAATGGCACGAGGGCATCAATCCCAGCAGGTGGGGATCTTTGGGAGCCATCTTGGAAGTTGGTAACCACAATAGGAGCGAAGGGTCAAGACAGGGAAAATTGAGGAGGTGGGGTAAAACTGCCACTTGGGAAGAGATCTGGTGTTCACATCTGCTACCTCATCAGGCACCAAATAGGTCTTCCATCTCCTTCAAAACACCCTGCTTCCAGAAAGTGTGACTGGTAGAGGAGAAACTGTTCTATACAACTGATTCTCAAACCACTCATCATGTGCCAAGATTTTCCTGGCACCATCATCTTATCCTATAGTAAGGAAACTGGGGCTGAAACTATGTGCCACCATGCAGAGTCAGCGCGCTCTTCTGGAAACTCCAAATCAGACGCATCTGGTTAAGTAACAAGGGGACACATAGGAGTGGTGTGTGCACAGGGGGGGCGGGGGACTGATGACCACTGGGCCCCTCCTCATGGCCGGCAAAGGGAAGTCAATGTGGACTTACCATCCTTGGAATTCACTTTGGTCTCAGAAGGTGACTCAACGAACTTCAGCAGTGGGGATCTTGACCTCTGAATGGGGGGCAGAGTGGGGTCACTGAAAAGTAGGGTCTCCTTGCTCCCTGTCAAGTAAAAAAAGAAGGTGGACACATTACATCATCTGCAGAGTGGTGGTCCCGGAGGACTGACTGGGAAAGTGTTGCTCCTGCTCAACTGCAGGCAAGGGAAAGTGAAAGGGAAGCGGCCAGTAGGCCCTTTCTGGAGGGCGAGGACAGCGCAACGAGTCCAGGGCCAGCTGTCTATGAGTCCCAAGACTCTACTTGGGACAAGGCCACCCGCAAACATGACCATTAAGGGACAGTCTCTTGTCAGCTGAAGACTGAGTGGATTTGAGGCAGGTGAGACGACGGTGATATAGCAGCAGCAGGTGCTACTGTGCAGAGGCTTAGGGCCTCCCTAGTTGACGTCCTCTCCAAGCCTCAGCGCCCTCCTCCACAAACAACTGCACCCACCTCCCTGGGCAGTGCGATGAAATGAACTGATTCATAAAAGCGCTTAGCATTTCATTGACACTCAGTAAGTGTCCTCAACAAGTGTCACTGAAATGATGGCCGTGCAGACAGTCCACACTACATCTGATTTAATTCAACCTGCCCATTTAGAATGAATAAAATCTCTGTCGTAAGTTTGGGAGTGTTATCACAGCTACATTTGCACCTAGAACATACCAGCCAAACCCTCCTCGATTTTCCCTTTTCCCGAATGAACTCCCGAAGTGGGCAGAGAAAGCCCAAGGCAGAGAGAAGGAGGAGAGGGAAAACTTCACAACGTTATTTCCAAGACCATGGGGTTATGGAGGTGAAGTTGGGGGGGGGGTGGCTTGGAAACCTGAGATGATAAACACAGATACACAGACACAAGACACACAGACATTCAGTGGTGCTGCCCACAGTTAGGAGACCCCACTAGATTCCACCCCCAGCTTATTCCAGGAGGAGACTTCCATCATCCTCCCAAATGGGCCACCCGGTGGGCCAAGGGCTAGACTATGCACATCCTGGAGCGCTCTGACCGTGCACAAGGCAAACCAGTAAACATCACTGGGGACCTCCAAAGTTGTGTGGTTTCATGCAGTTCCAGGCTCAGCAAAGGGCAGCTTGCTCTTTACATAAAGATGCCTGCTGCTTCTTTGGATGGTTCTTCTGCGTCCTTTCTCATTACAATACTGTGTTCCTGGCTGGCCAGGTCATATGATGTCAGTTTCTGAGACCGAGTGGAATAGAGTTAAGCGCGTAACAGACTCTTAGTCCCTTCTGCCCGACTCACGCGTTCTGGGTCTCCTGATGCCTTCTGTGGGGCAGCCCCAGGCAGGGGAGGGCTTCAGAGGCCACAGCACTGCGGTCCTCTCCTGGAGTCATCCCAGAAGAATGGAAATCTGTTTGGAGCCCACCCTGAAGGTTCTATTCACACAACTGTTGTCTCAATGGAACAAATGTCCAGAAATGCTTACGGGCCACTGTCTGAAGGTTTCCCAAAGAGAAATGCTGACCTACAGCTTGGAATCCTATTGAGGCTTTCAGGAGGACGTCATCACCCTCAGGCCTCCTCCCTCGTGAGCCAGCGACAATCTGGAGACACCTCCAGGGAGTACGAGTGACCCGACCAAGGGACCTAAGAGCCACGCCTGGGGCCGGGCTGCTTTTGTTTCTCTCCACCCCAGCAACAGTTATGTCCTCACTCCGTCAGGCACAGGTTTGCACTTCTCCATCCATGGTCCTCTAACAGGTGAGCAGGCAGCTCTCTAGCCGTAAGAGGACCCGGGGGTGTGGGTGGGGGAGACACACTCAGCCACCTCTGTGTCCCAGTGAATCTTCCAAATCCTCTCTGCCCCAGTGGCCAAAGAACCACAGTTATGGGCAGAGCTGAGCGTTGGCTGCCACCCAGTGCCAAGGCGGCCTGAGGAATGTCCTGGCCCTTCCTGCCACGAGGAATTCTGAAGGGCTGGATGTCTCCACAGCTCTCTCCACCCCAGGCACCACCACCATCAATGGCTCCTCAAAAATGCTGGTGCCAGAAACTAAACCTTTCCAAAAATCTGAACAGAAGGGACAGAAGGAGAAGGGGAGCGAGAATTCGCGGCTGACGTACACCCAGTCATGGTGTGGCTGGGGAGAAGACCAGCACCTCCCACATTCCTTCCTCGAGAGATGACCAGCCTGTCTCAAGAAAAACTGCTGCGATTTGTTCAATTCTTACAACATTTGAGGCTCTAAGTTCCTAAGGCCAGATGTTATCTTTGCTGACTAAGTGATTTTTTTCCCTCTATCTCGTTTTTAAATGTATATATGTAAATATATATATTATATAAAGTATTTTACCTCATTCTTCATTTTCTACACTTTTGCATCTCAGTTGTGATCCCTGTGATCTTCCCACCACTTCACCTAGGCACCATCACCACACTCCCGTGTGCTCTTCCCGCCCCAGCTTTGATCCTGCTCCCCTCTCCTCCCCTGCAGAATGTCTGTTGACTGAGTGACTCTAATCCCACCGGCTGCTGGCTGTTGGCTCAGTGTCTGCTCTCAGGATGGGAGGGCAGAGGTGGGTGAGGTCACACAGGCCCTTCCATTCAACTGGAATCAGACTTTCTGGAAATCCCGCCCTACTCCAGAAGGTCCCAGGTACTCCCCAGCCACTTCCCTCCTCAGGCTGATGCTGAGAGGACACAACTACAGTGAGAAGCTCACAGAAGCAGGCTCTGCCCTTGCCACAACTGTCTGGCCCTCTGTGCCTCTTCATCAAGCACAGCACATCCTGGAAGCCTCCTCTTAGAGCATCCTTTCCTCTCTCCCCATTGCGGGGGTCAGCAAGAAGCTGAGAGAAGGATGTTGACTGGCAGGACACTGCAGCGGGGGATGGTCACTCCTTCCAGAGACATGTGGTCACCCAGATCCACCCTCTGGCTTCCTGGCAACAGCCCCATAGCTTTCCCCCTCTCAGGGAATACACCTTGCTATGCAGATCACTCCTCTGTGCAGGCTGTGACATTTGTCAAACTTGTCTATTTCCCAGCAAGATCACAAATTTGCCCTAACTCTATCAAACAATGTCAAGAGCTATATACCGTTGACTGAGAGAGTGAGGCGGGAGAAGAGAGATGAAGAAAAATCATGCATGCATCTGAAAAGGTGTGAACACAGTCCCCTAAATCACAGACAGTGGTGTAAACCAATCAATGTTACCTCAGAAGTAAAAATAAGAGGGCCAGGGGAAACGGTCTCTTGTCCTGCTAGTCAATAGGCTAAAAAGAGACCTTAAAACAATGAGCAGACAGGGGAGAGATCGGATTTACAGGAGACAAAGCTGCCAGGCCCCGGGCCCTGTCCTCAGTCTCACCCTTTGACAAGATCCCAAGGCAGTCTTTCACCGGAACAGCCTTCATTACTGCACAGGGCAGTCTCTTGCCAGGACTCAGCTGCATCCACCGCCCACCGCCCACTTCTCTAAATGGAAGCCAGAGATCAGAAAGAAGATGGCATAAAATCCAGTCACCCTCCAAGTGAATTTTACCATTTAGTATTTCTTTCTACTAATTGAATTCTCTATTTCAGTGAACCACTCAAATCAGAAGTGGGCGAGGATAACAGAAAATGCCTTCCTGTTTATTTACATGCAGGAGTGATATGAATGCGTTGTTGATATTAGCCACAAACACAGATATTTCAAATAGAACATACTCCCAAATCCTATTGAAACATTGTAGCTCAGGCCTTCAGGCAGCAAAAAGAAGGAAAGAAACAATTGTTATTGCATAATAGCTATTTCAAGTCTAACCTAGACAAAACAAAACCAGCGATAGAAAATTCTCAGCATTCCATTCCCATTCAGCTGCCCTCTTTTTACATAAGTTGTAGAAATAAAACATTGTGAAATTTCACTAAGTCATTTGAAGAGGAAAAAAAACCTAACTCCAGTATACATACAGAAATAGCATTCTGACTATACAAATAAACGATAAATTTGCCTGACTGTTGCAATTCAAAGCGAAAAAGGAGAAGCCTTCCAAGGAGATAGGTTTTAACAGCATCAAAAGGTTCTCGTACAGAATGGATCATTCAAACCCCAGAACGGCACTCGCCACTAATTAGTTTTGTTAGGTCTTTTGACATCACATTCAAGGAATCTCTGCTAAAAGTTCCAATTTATGAGACACGCTTCTGGCAACCTAAGGCGGTTGTTCAGATTTACATTAAGAAAAGGCGTTGTTGCATCCTGTGGCAATTTTCATTTCTCATACATTACAGGGAAGCAGCACCATGATTCAAGGCTAGAGGAGACTGGTTTGTGCAGAAAGGTTAAGTAACTAAAAATATATGTACAACGGTTGCTTCCAGGGAAAGAGGGGGTGGTGGAAAATGATAAATACAAGTTTCTGGAGAGTGGAAAGAAAGAGGGAATAGCTGATGGGATCTTGTAGAGAGGGGTATTTTACCAAGACAAACGGGATAAATATAGTTAATTAAAGGGAGACAACGGCCTTTCCTTACAAGTGTCTACAACTTGTAAGGAAAAAAAATCTCTACTGGAAATTTTGATTTTTAGGCTATATAAGAAGTGGGATGGGTGAAGAGAGGAACAATACATACATTGGGGTTAGAACAACTATGGGTTCCTATATTCATTTCACGGAATGATGCTTACATTGAACTTGTCTGGAAGTTCTGATACTTGCTTTTAGGACTGCTGATTAAATTGGACAAATCTTTATAAGATAGTTATAGATTAAAACAAAAAAAATTGAAACAATTTATCATGTTTCCCAAAGTTAAAAAAAAATCACACACACACAATTTTACAAATTTTAGTTAGCAAAAGTTCACAGTTCCACAGATGAGTACTTGCATATTTACTGTATTTTTCTGATCTCCCAAAATGGTGATTTCTAAGTTTAAAACAGATTTCTCAGCCATGATCTTCAAGTAAAAAGATACTCTTTGCAAAAGATGTGGGAGCTTTTTTTTTTTTTTAAAGGAAAAACAACTGTCATAAATTTCTGCTTACCTGGAAGACTCCACAAACCAGAAACTTCCAGAGTTCTTAATTTTTTCTCCAGTTCAGCTACCCGGTTCCCTAGGATTCTGGAGTGGGGGAGAAAACGATAGCAGATATTTACTAAAATGTCTTATTGGTTCTCAGGGGTCTAGGGAAACCTAAGTGTCCTAAGAGAAAACACTGGAGAGTCAAGAAGACTTAGGGATGGCAAAACCATATAACTAAACCACATAACTCAGCTGTGTCGAAGGCTTTGCTACCTAGGTTTGAGCGACTACACTCTTACGATGCCTGTGAAGTGTCAGTATCACCTAATTGCATTCTCAGAGCGTCTCTCCCCTTGTTAAGCAACAAACTAAGATAAAAATGGGCCATCTGTGTTACACACACGTATAGATACATACATACATATACTTATTATGGTTAGAGGCATATATGCTCTTCAAAACCCATTTGAAATATAAATTTAAAAGTGTGATACAAAAAAAAAACAAAGCGTGCCTCTTCAAGTGAACTCTCCCACAAAGATAGTTCCTCTGAGCACTCAATTAGTCCACCACCCAAATATCTTGTAAGATTTCTGCTTGGGATTTGCTAAAGATGCTGCTAATTAATTCTGATTATCCTTAGTCTTAGCACACCTGGACTCTTTAAGGGTGGATCTGATTTTGGGGAGCAACCAAGTAGGATAAATAAAATGGGTGAGAATGCTAGGTCCATGTTACTTTGAGTCCATGAAGTATCAGCTGTACCCTGTTCAGCCTGTCCTGTGTCTTTCTGAGGATGCCAACCTTGCACGGAGAGTAATGCCTAGCAGGCATTCAACACATACGTTTTATGTCATAAAGTAAATACCTTTTCTCTCTCATGGCTTGTAAATATCTATGGAGGGAATTTACAAGCAAGCATTTCAAAAGAATTTTCAAAAAGATAACTGCAGGATAGCTGGAATAACTGTCCATCACCCCACAGTGACCCACTGTGGTGTGTAACCAGAGGGGGTATGAATGGACTTGGGTATCTAATGTGCCTCTATGCATGGAAACACATGCGTGTGGGTACTATTTCCCCTCCTTTATTCTCCACAAATTTAAATATAGTTGGGAAATGACTTAACAGTCATCTAGAGCTTCAATCACTTTCCATTTGCCTGGAAATGGAAAAGCCAGTCTTCATATTATTTGGGGGATTTTCTTGGCAATGTTGTCTAAAATGATGTGGAAATGACCTTAACAGCAAAGTTGCAATTCCTTTCAGCAGAGACATCAGAACGCCAGAATTGTTCTCCTACCTCTTTTTATATCCCAGAGATATAAAACACCCACACACCCACATACACACAGAGACATGAATATGTATATTTCTACACACACATATATATGGCTTTGACTTCATCCTTATTTTACCTGAATTGACTGCATCTTAATTAATATTCCCTTTGCGTTCACAGAAAACTCTTTGACGTTACTCTGTGGTTTTCTTCATCTAGGTACCTGGAGTCTTTCCTCTTTTCCTTAAGTCTTAAATTCTGCATAGTCTATCAATTACCTTCCTTTTCCACTTCGTTTGTTGGGTCTGTTCTGCTTTCATGTCTCTGACCCTTCAATAAACACCATTCTTTGTACTCTCGCTTTCAATATTTTGCTCATACTCTCTGATCCAAGCTCCCTTTTCACCAGCTGATGGGTTTGAGATGCAATCACAGCGGTGTTCAAGTTGATGCCTGTTTCTTAACGAGATCAGATCATCTGTTTGTGGCTGCCTTTTGGAAACAAAAGATAAGGCTTAACTCTCTATGCACACTGAGGGATGCCATCAGGGCAACGTTCAAAGGTGTGGTGAAGAATCCTTCGACTGTGTTTCTGATGTCCCCAGATAATGCAGCCATCTCTCCCAGAAATGGACTGAGGTGGGTTTGCAGGTGACCCCAGCAATCCACCGGGACATGGCCTAAGTTTGCCCGTGGTGACTGCTTTCATCTTTGACGTGACACAGAGGCATCTAAAGCAGGACTAGGGATGCAGACCCCACAGCAATTCTGCTAGCAGTAACAGTACCAATAACACTGTCAGTTACACTGCAACTATGCTACTGTTAACACAAGCAGCAAAGGAGTTGCCTTGCATCTGCGACATGAGTCAGAGCTCACCACTCTTGCATGATCTCAACAGACCTGACAACAATCCCACAGTGTATGCTACACCTGTATCCTCCTTTTACACAGGTGGGTTCTAAGGAACAGAGAGGTTAAGCCACTTGCCCAAGGACACACAGTTCATGTCAAAGCTCTGTCTTTTCCCAGTTCCCAGTGCTCTGGCCCACAACACCCTACTCTTCCCACGCAGAAACAGGCATGGAAGTTAGTTGATTTGACCTAAATCACATCCTGGACCTCAAATGGCAATGAGTGCAGATGTAACCCTATGCCTCAATTAACCTCTAAAATTTATGTGTGCTCTTAACCAGGATGGCACTTTAAGCTTCTATTGCTTGGAGCACACACTTGTTAAATGCCATTCCTATGGAAATATGGAAGCACTTGCAGCGGACTGGCAAAATACAACCCAAGATGCTTCAAAATGACCGAGAGGAACCGTCTGACTGGCATCACACTGCGGTTCACTGAATGTGGTGTGACGTAGCCCAGGGAGAAGAGAGGGCTGTTTGAGCCTAATAGTTGGCAATATTCAAAGGTAGAGAAGGTAGATGTAAGAACTTGGTCAATTCGATTCAGTTTGATCAGTTCAGCAACTAATGAGACTGTGGAGGATGACAAGGGCACCCTGTCTTTGAATTTGAGGGACTAAAAGTCTGGGGAGACCGCAGTATACAACATATGGCAGCACCTGACAGTTTAATAATCTTTTTTTTGGGTTAAGATTTATTTATTTGTGCATACAGAACTGGGGTACAGGCCAGAGGTGCAGGGGTGGTGAGAGGATTTGCCAGAGACAGAGTGGGGAGCAGAACCGGCAGATCAACAAACAGGCAGATCACTGCTGAGGGAGCAGCGGGTGGGCCAGGAGAGGTCTGCTGCGCCATGTGGGTCACCTCTGGGGCCAGGGATTGAACCAGCACTGAAGAGGCCATGGGCAGCTTGCAGTGCTGTGTCCAAACCCGATGCACCACCAGAGCCCAATTTAACCCAATTTAACCATCTTTTAATAAGAAGGCTTTAGTAGTGGCCCGTGCCAAACAAGCATCGTGCATACAGAGATTGACCTCTTTAGTTCCTTATCAAACTCGTGAGACAGTATTTCAGTAGATCTGCCTGTTCTGCTCCCCACTCTGATTCTGGTGAATCCTTTCGCCCCCAGATTTTCTGGCCTGCACCCCAGTTCTTGTATGCATAAATAAATAAATCTTAAAAAAAAAGAGGGCCCTCCCTGGTGGTGCAATAGGTTAGTACGCAGCACAGCACTAAGAAGCTAACGCCACTTCAGCGTGAGCTTGATCACCACCCCGGAGGTGATCCACATGGCACAGCAGACTTCTCCTGACCCGCCCGCTGCTCCCCTCAGCAGTGCGCTTCATCAGTCTGCCTGTTCTACTCCCCACTCTGTCTCTGATGAAGCCTTTCACTGCCCCTGCACCTCCGGCCTGTACCCCAGTTGGGTATGCATAAATAAATCTTTTTAAAAAATAAAGAAAGAAAATCACATAGAGTAACGTCACAAAATTTTCTGTGAACTCAAAGGGAATATTAATTAAGATGCAGCTCAAAACTGGCAAAAGGATACCCACAAAAGCCAAATATACATACTTAAAATTTTAGTCAATAAACTTATCAATAATCATTAATACTTATGGACGACTTGTCCTTCCTGTACCAGCGATCAGGCTAAGCACTTCCCAGAGAATCCCCCCTGACCAACCAGCAAGGCAGCTCTTACTATTCTTATTTTGTAGATGAGGAAAGAGAGAATCAGAGAGGTCCAGGAACTCTCCCTGGGCTAAGTAAGTGGAAGGGTGAGAATCCAAAGCTGGGCCGGGAACGACACAGGCGTTTCAGCAGCCCTAGAGAACAGTCGTGAGGAGCACATGGAGGCTGGACCTAGAGAGGCCATGGACCCAGGTTCCAAGTTGCCATATTGAGAATGTACATCGGCAGTGGGGAGAAATGCAAGGACTCCATGCAGAGGCAGCATAATGCAGTTTAAATATCTTGATATGGCTGAGAAAGGACTGGAAGGACGACGAGGAGCGGCAGAGAGACCAGTTAGAAGCTCATCGCGCAAAGCAAGTCAGTGAGTTGTGTGAAGCCAAAGGAATGGGGCGACACAGAGGGGGTGAGTTGAGGTACCTCCCAGATAGCCAGAGGGACATGAGAGAAAGGAAAGACCTGGAAGGATCTGGGGGTGCCAAGATGGTGTGTGGGGAGCAGGAGTGGGTCTGTTCAACAACAGAAGGTGAGACTCAAAGAACAGGGACCAGCGGACCTTCCGTGGAGTGAGGAAGGACTGCAGAAGCATGCTCAGCAGGAGGTGCGGGGCAGGACGGGGCCTGGAAGCCACAGGCAGAGAGTTCCTGGTGGGACAGTGGCTGATTCTTATTCTAGAAAGGGGCACACAGGATGGCCCGTATCCTCAGTCCCCACCCAGGTGTTGTGTAATTGGTTTCTTTATGTGCCCCACATAAAACATCAATTGCAGATATGAAAGTTAAGACCTTCTAAGGATGAAGAGTGGCACATTAGGCACTTGTGTAATGATGGGAAGCAATCTTCAGGATCTATTATTATGGGGAGAAAAGCAAGGTGCAGAACAGTGGAAAACTGCGTGCACGTGAATACCAGCTACCATTTGTGAAAAAAGAAAAAGACCAGCGTTTCTATATCTAAGGAGTCTTGCGTGTTGTGTGCACGCCAATGTGTTGTGTATTTGCAGACAAACGCACCCTTGGAAGGAGTCACAAAGAATGAGGGCTAGTGGTTTCTTCTGGGAGGACTAAGGTAGCTGAGAGGACAATAATAGTTTGGAGATGACCGCTAGATGTTGCAACACTGTTAAATACCGTTTAACCTTAAACCATGAGATACTACAAAAGTGTTAAACTCTAGGTACTATCAGAAAGGCACATGAACATAATAATGGAGCTGCTAACTGAGGATGGGGACTTTCTGGGAGAGGCCCCTGGCTCCTGGGAATGCCGGGCAGCCGTGGGGGTGGGATGAGTGAGTCAGGCCACCGAGTCAGGCCGCCGAAGGGGCCTGGGGGCTGAAGTGGGGAGGCACTGGGGCCCAGCCGCCTTGCAGCAGGGGTCTGTGCTGTGAGAGAACTACAGCTGCAGGCTTGGGCAGCTGCAGGGGGCGGTGGGCTGTCTGAAGGGGCTAGGTGGGAGGCTCTTCCCAAGGAGGAGGTGTTGGTTTGGAGGGAAGAAAACCATAGGGCAGAGAGGTGAGGTGTTGGGAACAAAGCTTCAGGGAACAGACGCCCAGCAGGCACAGGCATGGAAGTCTCAGTGTGACCAACATTTGGGCATGAGGGTTAAGACAGCAGGAGCAAACGGCCAGACCGTGACTTGCTCCCCCGTTCATCACGTGATCACAAGCTCCGCTGGGCCAGGCGCTGCGCTGTGCACTGGGGGAGAGGAGCTGCATAGTGTTCTAGGTTATGGATTTACAATAATTATGATCATCTCCAGTTAAAAAAGACACGTGAGGACCCTCCCTGGTGGTGCAGTGGGTTAAGGCACCCAGCTAGGAAGTGATCTTCAGCCACTGCAGCATGAGTTTGATCCCCTGCCAGGGAGCGGGCCCACATGGCGCGGCAGACGTCTCCTGACCCGCCCGCCGCTCCCCTCAGCAGTGTACTTCATCGATCTGCCTGTTCTGCGCCCCGCTCTGTCGATGGTGACTCCTCTCACCCCCCAATACCTCTGGCCAGTATCCCAGTTCTTGTATGCATGAATAAGTAAATCTTTAAAACAAAAGACACTTGAGCTGTTGCCAACTTCTGATAAACGAATCCACCCTAGGGTGCTATTTTGATGATTTTCTTTGGGGTCAGAGACCAGAGGCAGACCATCTGGGTTAAAGGGCACACCTATTTTACAGTGTCTTAAAATGCACTAAGGAAGGGATCGCCCAGACCTGAGACTCACTGAATTTGTACCACAGAGAGGATACAGGGGCGACTGTCAGCCTGCAGTTGGAAATGTGGGTCTTGTTTGACAGCTGGTGGGGTTAAGAATTCTGAGAAGAGTCTGTAGAGAGCAAGAGGGAAGCGGAGGCATGGAAGGAGAGGAAGTCAAGCTAAGGGTGGGGGAAAAAAGGAAGAAGAGGGAGAAGGAATGAGACAGGAGGAAACTGAAGGACTTTAGAGTGGAAATTGGGATGAAGGGAAAATATAGGAAAGACCTGTGGTACTGGTGACTTTCGAATGAAGATCTCTGTGGAAAATTCTGGAAGCAGTTGTGGGCAGCATTAAAGCAGCTATTGATCCCCCATGTGCAGGACATGGGGTGGCAAGGAAAGCTTGCTCAATCTCAGATTCCTGACATTCCTCAGGCCCCTTCCCCTTGCCAAGCACCTGCCATCGGTGTCTCCTCACCAGACACTCTCAGGGCTACTGAAGAAACAGAGTTGGTTCCTTAACTGGAAGCTTGGAGGGAAGTAGAATTGTTGGGAGGCAAAGAGTGGAAGGGGAACTCTGGGGTCCAGGAAGATCTGCCATTTCTGGGTAAAGGGGCAGAAGTCAGAGAGGGGGAAGAGGGGCTCTCAGTGGAGAGAGGTTGCAAAAGGAGGAAGGAGTGGACCTGCAGGCCACCGGTCCCAGCGTGATTTCCAGAGTCAGCAGGGAGAGGTGACTGGTTTCAGGGAAGCTGCAAGTCTTGGGGCCTCTGTTTCCCCAGTCAAGGAGGGGCCTCGGGCTCCAACTGAGAAGTCTAGGGCTTCAAAGACCCGACAAGGCGGGAGAGAGTTCCCGCTGGTGCTTTATGGGGAGTCAGCGAGAACTAAGAAGACTCCTGGGGACCGATTCTGGCTGTGGGTTCTGCCTGAGTAAAACAGACCCTGTACCTATTCTGGGGAGATTCCCACTCCTCCTTCCTCCCCTGGGGAAGTGTCTGCATTTCAGCGTCTGGCTGTTTCGTTCCTTGGGTAAGATTTCTTTGCAAAGAATTTTTAAAACTTCTTCTGTCAATAAATTACCCTTGTCATCCCTTTGAGATTGCCAGCCTCCCTCCACCGCTCTCGGCTTTCTTTTATATATATCTTAATCTCCTGCACGATCTTCCCTTCACTCCCGCTTTTGTTTTTACAAAACTCTCAATCATTCTCCAGTTGCCTCTCGCCACGTGCCGCGCGGCCTCGCCAGGCCTCCCCCTCCCAGGCCCATCCCCTTCTGCACCTGCTGGCTTCTTCCACCCTTTCATAATTTGCAGGGCTCAGTGCAAAACAAAAATGCAGGGCTCCCTGGTTTAACAATAAAATTTTTAGAAATTATTTGACATCAGAATTTCCAGCCGGCAACTGCAGCGCTCGGACCCGAGCCGGCTGTCTGAGCAAGGCCTGAGCATGGCAGGCTCGCGTCCGAGCTGGTCCTGTTGCAATATTTGTTGCTTTAATCTATTGTTTATTCACCAGTTTTTGAACATTTTCAATTTTGCTTCTGTTTTCTGTGCTGCTTTCACCTACTTTACCTTGCTTGATTTTGCCCCCCAGAGTCAACATGATTATAAAAACCAAATAAGATATCCTGTTTTAATGAATACAGTGGTTCTTTCTACCAATTTTTCCCCCCACCAAACATGGAGGAATGATAGGAGATTCCCTTCCAGCACCAACTGCTGGTGCAAGTTGATATTTGGGTGCTCTTGGCTTGCTGAGCTCCTCAAGGTCATGCCTCTGGTTATGAGGGCACTCAGGAAGTCAGTTCTGCAGGAAACTGATGGAGAGAGAGTTCCGAGCTGACTATACCACTGAGAATGCCTCACAGTACAGATTGTGCAGGCAGGGGCGCAGGCAGGGGAACGGGTAAGTATTTGATAGGAATGGCCACTCATGAGCAAAGATCACTAGCTCCAGGAGCTAAGCAAGGTGCTGACACAGTGCAGGCGCACTGATCTGGTTTAATACGTCTCCTTCCAGACTGCAGGGCTCTCAGCGACTTCCCTGTGTATCTGTAACTCTGCCAGGTGGCCACTCACACTGGTAGTCTGGGCCCTTCTCTCCCACCCACCGAGTGCCTAAAGCTCACTACTTACTTGTTGGTCTGTCTCTGGTGCTGGACGACCATGTTCTTCTCATGGATTGTCTCCAAGAGGGCCGTGGCTAGAGATTTCAGATCCGAAATGGACTGCGGTGTAGCCGGGAGACTGCATCCCTGATCCTCAGATAACAGATCCTGAACTAGGTAGGACACAAAATTTACGGCTCAGCCTCAGATCTCTCTGGAACATTGGAATGCAAAGCGCCATCATTTCTTTCCGAATAATGAAGCTGGGATAGGTTCCCAGCTTCTAAATGCTAATCTATTGTATTGACAAGTTCACTGCAAGTTTAAAAGTAAACAAAAACAGAATTCAGTGTGAGCGTTAATGAAATGGTCCTCACAGACTTTTATCAACAGCTTTTTTTTTTAAAGGATAGGATAGCAATCTTTATATTTATGTGGCATTTTACACTTTCAAATTAACTCACTTGAGACTGAAAAAAAAAAAAACAGTGCCTGGGAAATAGTGTTTATTCCAGCTTCACGGACAGGAATGCAAGGGGCTAAAAAGACAGGCTGTGTTTGCAAATACCAGTGAATAGCCCTAAACTCCGGACTTTGGGTGAGGATCCCAATGCACTGGCACCCAGGGTGGGAAGCAAGATGCCTTGGGTGATTACTTAAGCTACAAAATATATTTTATAAATGCTTGTCTGCAGAAAAGATAAACCAAGTGGATAATACAAATAAGACAGCAACCGCTTGCATACCTACTGACAGAAAAAAGACACAGTGGCCACTCTCACTATGTATCTCTGAATACCATTTCCTCTATGCTACATGGACATACACAAATTCTCACTCTTTTCTTCTAAAACATAAAATGTAACAGCTTCTTAGTAGTCCAAGTGTTGATATCTAAGAATGTATTTATTACGTATGTTGTCTCCAAACCTTTCATTAGCTGTTTGCGTTAGTTATATATACCTAGTGTGGGAAAAACTTACTTGAAGCAAAGTGTTTCCACATGCTTGTGATTCTACCATCCTGTTCAAAGGGGGTCAGCTTACGGTTCTGCATCACAAGTAGCCAAACGGTTACCTCATGTCTAGAGTTATGCTCCGCTATGAGTGGCAGGTACCCCTAGTCAATGTGACAGGGAGTCTTGACATTCAAAGGTGCTTGCCAATGGAGTGTAGCTAGAGCATTTAACTTAGTGGGGAGATGTCCCACGGTGTAGTATAGTTTTCTGGTAGAAAATAGTTCTAGGGTATTCTTTTGTGGTTGAGTGGAAAAAAGAAGTTGCTAGAGGAAGTGTCTTGGTTATTAGGGAGGCTGGCAATTCAGCACTTTCTCTAAGCCACTCCAGCTCTGATGAAGACTCTGTCTGCTGCTCGCTGGCCTGCCCGGGGCCAGTCGAGCACGCTCAACCTGAGGCTTCTGTACAGAACTGCATTCCCAAATATTAAATGTCAGAAGCGAGCTCTCTGCTATTTATTCCCCTGGACTGTTCCTGGAAGATCATTATTTTTCATTGGAATCGACAAGAAGGAGGAACAAAATTGCGATCAATAAAAGCTTCTTTGAAAAAGGTAGATGTTCTATAAAGAAATGAGTTCAGCAGCTATGAGACTTTTCTATTCTGATGGTAGAGGCCAGGAAAAGGAGAAACTCGATGAGGCTGAAACAGCTACTGAGATGCTTACGTTTTGAATGGGGAGGAGGAGAACATTCTTGAAAGGAGAGAGTGCTACCAGGATGTAGACAAAAAGGGGAAATCCTTTGATGCAGCAGTACTCAAAGCAGGTTACTAAGCCTAACCGCATCACCTGGGAACTTTTGAGAAATGCATCTTCTCTGGTCGCACCCCAGACCTACTCAAAGAGAAACTGGGGTGAGGTGCAGTCACGTGCGGTAATCAGTTCTCCAGATGAGTTCTAACCCCTGTCCTAAGGGTTGCCTGCAGCCCCACGGCACAAAACGAGGGGTTGCATGAGATGTGGATTCACAGCTCCGGCCTGTGCTTCTAAGTGGTCCCTCCTGGAGAACAAATTTGCAAGTTCCTACCTTGCTTTGCAGAGAGGACTCCTGTCAAAGCACTGCTGCTGGATTTACCCTGGCCTTTGGAGTTTTTCCGCCGTTCGAGAGCATTCTAAAGCAGCGTTGAAAGAAAATCAAGACTGTAGTCAGAAAAGTCAATAATGGAAAAATATCCAGCCTGGGTAGGTGCACCCTCCCACACAGCACATGGGAACCCCCGACAAACTCCAATGCTAGCTTGATGTTCAGCATTCTGAGCCCTGCCAAAGAGTCACCCTTGTTATGGACACAGTACAGAGTCACTTTTTTAAAAAAGTTGGTGCCCAGCAACATGTCAGCTATGATAGTCTCCTAAACAAAAGATACTTGAAGCTAAATTAAATCAAATCTGAAGAACTCAGTCTAATTGTGAAGTCACTAGTTATGAAAACCCTTTCTAAACAGATATGAGTTGGAGAAGAGGTTTCTTTTCACGCTATTTGGAAGGATTCTGTGGCTGGACTAGGAAAAGAGCCACCATCCATCAGTGGCACGTGGACACGGGCTCAGGAGGACTTCTGTGTGCTTCAGTATCACTGCTCACACAGACCCTCACACACAAATCGGTGTGTACTGTATGGTCAGTGCCCGGTAGACCGAACTGAGAAAGTGTTGTTCAGTGAATGCTTGCTTATATTTTATCCAACTAAGAATCCTCTACACATCTGCCGTCTTTGTTAGCTGCCTTTGTAGAAACAGTTCGGTGACGAGTGTGGGGTGGCCCCACAGACTGGAGAGGATAGCTGGACAGCAGCATAGAGACTTCTGAGCAAGAAGCCAATGTGAAAAGCCAGGACAGTGAGAAGCTGCTCCCCGGCAACAAGCCTGCTAGAGAAGTTCACCCTCAGGAAGAGAAATCAATCTATTTTCAAAGCAGAGAGACCCAGGAGATTTTTCTAATTATAAAACTTACAACTAACATCTGCAGAAATAGATATTATCAAGCTAATGGTGCTGGAATTAGACTAAATAACAGTGGGGAGAATTTCAACATTCTGTCCTTTCAGTGTTGACGTGACATTATCATTTAGATTGTGATTTTCCAATCTTTGTATCTTCATCACTCGGAAACCATTTTCTTATGGATGATTATGAGACAAATAGCATCTGATGACAGAAGAGGTTCTAGAAAAACTGACCGAGGAGGTTGTAAAGGGGCCGTGACCAGTGTCTCGTGGCCTCTGTTCTGGTCAGGTGACAGCACCCGGGAGCTTTTGTAAAGGTTGGTTGGTTTTGTTTGTTGTTTGGGGGGTTAATTCTTACTGCTTCTGTCACTGAAAGCTCTTATTGGACTTTGGTTGGGGGTGGGGGGCAGCAAGCACTAAAATATCTTTGGCATATAAAAGAGAATTAAAATAGAATGACATTTAGATGCCAAGTGTGAATCATCCCCACCCTCGATGTGATCTTGCTACCTTGTATTTGGCGATGTTAGATTTCAAGAGGTTGACCTCTTCTTGAAGCTGTTTTAATCTCTCTTGAAGATACCTGGAAAAGAATATAGATGATCAGGAAGTGTCCAGTCACAAAACGGAAAACATATACTCGAGAATGAGAAGGACAAAAAGAAAATCCAGTGCCTCAAGTGCCATCTTTTCCATGAGATGCCACCTCCCCACCAAAAGGAGGAGAAAAACGCATCTTGTGTGTGACTCCTTCCTAAGTGGATGCGAGATCAAGGTCAAATGTGCCCAAATCACACAACCCCGCTGTAGAACGGCCCTGTGCAGAAAGCCCTGAGAGACAGCAGCACACTTTTCGCATAATTCTCATTAAGATGATTCCACTGGGAAGCAAGGCAGGAAGAGGCAACACCAGACATAACATTAAGTTAGACACATACACAGACCCAAATCTGCCTCGGGGAAAAGAAACAGCTAAGGGAATTTCTCAATTTATTTTCTTACTCTTCTCCCTCTCTTTGAGAGCAATAACAAGTTCCCTCTTCTTCCTGCCCAGTTGGGGAGGCAAGAGGAGAGCGAAATATGCAGGCAAGGCACGGTGTTTCCTCCCTTTTACAACTCAGGCTGATGTTCCACCAGCCGCTGGAGGCGTGGCTTGACCTGCATTGGAAGCCACTTTTCTCGAATGCCAACAGGGCTGTACCTCCTTCTTGGCCTGAAAGTCGATGAGGGCCCTCCCCTCACCTGTTCTCCATACACAAGGCGTCCACGTCGATGATCCGGTTCTCATGCCCGCCCAGGATGTGGTTGAGCTCCTGGTTAAGCCTCTCCACCTTGTGCTGGTAGGAACACCGCTCTTCCTTGACATCCTGAAGCTCATCCACAGAAGCCTGCAGGTCATGCTCCAGAGACTCAATCTGAAACCAAAGGAAGCATCCTTCCTCAAGATGTTCCTCAGACGTGGGTTTTACGGCCAGAGAAGGAGCCTCTCGGTTGGCTGACTTTTAGAGAGCTTATTAATACTACCCGCATGCTATAAAACCATAAGCTGGAATACAGTAAAAGCTAAAAGCAAAGGGATGACTTCCTGCCAGACACTTACTCCATCTGAGAGGGGTAAGAGCAGCAGCTTGGAAAACCAAGTTGTCCCGTCCCCGCTGCGGCCTGTCCCAAGGCCAGAGACGAGGGGCAGACCCACACCCGGCACGGTGCTGCATCTCCAGCGCACACACTTTGCCAAGTGCTGGGGACCCAGAGGCTTATTCTGCTCTTCAAAGCCACCGGGAAAAGGGAAATGAAGTCTGGCTCTGCTAGCTGTTCCCTAACTCGGACTCCATACCCACTGAGATTCTGCCTACAAGATGTCACCCACTCTTTCTTCTAATGAAGAATGATGTAAAGTACATATAAAGTAAGATAAAATTGTAAAAATGTATGTATTTTACCCATTAAAAAAAAAAAAAAGCATTGCACAGCATTTCAGTGAAAACCTGCAAAGAAGGCCAAAACGTCACATTTTGCTCTTTCCCTGCCTGGCCCAGGTAGAGGGTCAGTTTCTTGTGCTCAGAACAGTGGCCTGCAGAGGACAGACGTGCTGAAGCAGACACACGGAGGCAGCCTGGGAGCCTGACGGAGGGCCGAGGAAGTGACAGCATTCCGCCATCGTCTCCTCCTCGGATGCACATGGCCCCCACCCCTCGCTCGCTGAGAAAGGGCGCAGACTGCTATGCACAGACATCCTCTGCTCTTAACCTAGCTCAGCGTCACCTGCTCCTTCGCTCTCTCCAGTTGCTGGACCAAGTCTTCACGTTCATGGGCGGCAAAGTGCCGAGTGCCAACTTCTTCATCTCCGAGCCTCTGTTTGGCGATTGTCATCCTCAAGAGCTTCATTTTCCATTAGTAGAAAAAGGAGGGAAAGTGTGTGTTAAAATCAATACATCCAAATAAAACCAAGGAAGCTACACAGAAAGTTTTGGAGGATGTTTTTTTTTTTCACTGGAGAAAGGCACAAGACAAATTTCTTGCCAACATGATGATTAATTTATTTTTAAATTTCAGGCTCCTTTATTCCTCCATTCATTTCAGGGAATATAGTTTTTTCTAGATGTCTGTTTTTCACCCTCCACACCACCCAAGTCCATACCCCATCTACCTCCCTCCCCTGTTTTCATCCCCACCCTCATTCTCTCTGATAACCATTACATTCTTTTTGCTGCGTTCAAGATTTAGCCATACTGTTCTTTGTATATGGATTTGGGGGGGGGGTTTATAATCCAAGATGAGTGAATTGCCCAATATCTGTCTTTTGCTTTGTTGATTTATTTCATCCAACACAATCACCCTTCAACAGACAAATGGATATTTTTTTAGAGATTTCTTTATTTATGCATACAGAACTGGGGTATAGGCCAGAGGTGCAGGGGCAGTGAGAGGATTCGCCAGAGACAGAGTGGGGAGCAGAACAGGTTGACTGATGAAGTACACTGCTGAGGGGAGAAGCTGGCAGGTCAGGAGAGGTCTGCCGTGCTATGTGGGTCACCTCTGGGCTGGGGATAGAACTCATGCTGAAGCAGCTGTGGCTAGCTTGCACTGCTGTGCTCTAACCCGTTGCACCACCAGGGAGGACCAATAAATGGATACTGTGGAATATATATTCATGGCGTACTATATGGCTGTGAAAAATGATGACATAGTGGCATCTGGGACAAATGGATGGAGAGAACATGAGGTAAAACTTTTGGAATAGTCAGGAAACCAACTCTGGGTTTCTTTTTAAGCTTAGTAAAGATTAAAAACTAATAACACAATGCTGGAAGCAATTGTGTTCTTTGGTTTTGCCTACCACATGCTTATTAGTAACCTCAACATCAACAGTTGAGTGCTTTTACATCAAATGTGGAGACACACGAGTTACTGAACAGCCACGTTCCCTGCTGGGGATTGACCAAGGCCACACACACTCTGCTTTCTCCTCTCAGCTTTTTTAGTGTAAGCAAGTGGTCTTTTCATGGTTGCTTTAGTGCCATAGTTTTTCATATTTTTTTGCTTTTTGCTGGTGGTTTGTTGGGCTGTTTCAAAAGGTCCCATGTGTAGGTGGGGACATGTCTTATAGAGAAAACATGTGCTGGAAAAATTTCATGCAGTGTGCATTAGAGTACTATTGGTGATGAGACTCAAGATGACTTTAAACAGAAACAGACAGGAAAAAAAAAAAACCCAAGGTGTGTACCGATAAGTTGACAAAAATCTCTGTAGCCAAAAGCTCACAGAACACTAACCTGTGTTTCCCTTAGGAGCAGTGTGATTCAGTATTTGCAAGATCAGCATTCACATGACTCTAGAAAACATAACTACAGCAAATGTGGAGACCTGACTGTATTCGGGGGGAGCCACTCTGAGGGCAGAGTTGCTTCATTCAGCGGGAAGCTGATGTGTGAAAACATCTTCCCCATCACACAATTCTTGGTCTGGGACTTGGTAACACCAAATGGATATACAGAAAGATGAACAGCAAACCAAGGAAGAAATATTTTTCAGAACGAAGGCTCTAGAAACAAGGCATGATGTAAAAAAGAAGGCTCTTGGCATGTGTTTGGAAGCAGAGTACTTTTCTTGATATGTGAAAGGCCAGATTGACAGCCTGAACTTTAAGTAATAAAACACCACTGTGGTTTCCCATTCACAGCCCGCTTCACTGAACACTTAATTTAGAATCACACAATTATGTTTGCTTAATGCCAATTAATTATTAAACATGTTTATTGAGGTCTGACAGCCATCTAAGAGAGCCATCTTTTATATCCTGGATGCCTGTTAAGCTTCAACAAATATGTTAACAATCATCTGGTGTGTAATGTGCATACAATTTCAACTGTTAAATCACAGGGCTGGGGGAAACATTAATTTTTATTTATTTATTTAAATGTAATTACCTCTTTGTAATACCTAACATGATGTAAATGCTATGTACATAGTTACACTATATTGTTTAGGGAATAATGGCAAGAAGAAAGCCTATCCATGCTCAGTAGAGATGTAACCATCGTTGGCCTACCACATAGTAGGGATTTTTAAAAAATCTACAATTGGTTGACTGACTCCACAGACGTAGAACCTGTGAAAACAGAGGGCCACTGTGTATCTCTACATAATATAGTTACCTATTTCTATAATTTATAGATACCATTTCTCTCTCACTCTCATCCCCTTCCCTCCCCACTCTTAACCTCCACTGGGTTTTGTAAGTGATCAACATGAATGAATTGTCTACTAGAAAAATTTATTTTGGGGCTCTCCCTGGTGGCACAACGGGTTAGGACGCAGCACTGCAAGTGAGCCGCAGCCCCTCTAGTGCGAGTTCGATCCCCGCCCTGGAGGCGACCCACATGGTGCAGCTGACCTCTCCTGACCCGCCCGCTGCTCCCCTCAGCAGTGTACTTCACTGATCTGCCTGTTCTGCTCCCCACTCTGTCTCTGGTCTCTAGTGAATCCTCTCACTGCCCCTGCACCTTTGGCTTGTACCCCAGTTCTGTATGCATAATTAAAAAAAATTTATTTTCAAAAGTACACCCAAGTTGGTAACAGTCAGGTCATGTATTGGGTCTGAAACTTGAGGGAAATGAGCTGATGAACCCAAAGAGGCCACGCAAAGGGGGAGGCGGTGTTGCTCCAGACAAGTTCTCCTCCTGGCTGGCTGACTGGCTGACAGGCTGACAGACCCGCAGAACCACAGGAGTCGGGCCTGGCCCCACCAGCCGTGAGCTGTGCACCCTCTGCCATGTGCCTGACCTCTCTGAGCCCAGGACCTGCACCGTGCAAACATGACAGCACACACACAGCTTTCCAGAAGGCTGCTGCAACCATGAGGGGCATGGTGGACCTGCACTAGGTTTGCATCCTTATGGGGGGAATTCAAGTGTGTGTGTTTGGCAGAAAGATGAGGGGAAGAAAAATGGAGAAAGAGAGAGATGGGGAAGAGAGAAGAGAAAAATAAAAAATGTTAAAAATTGAGTGATTCTCCCCAATTCAATGTCCTGGGCTGAGAGTGAGGTGGGCGAACGATACACTTGCAAAAGCCAGCCTCTTCACAATACCCTCTTGGGAATACTGTGTGCTCGACCTTCATGGACCGTGTGCTCTGACCTTCTGGGCCAAGTTAAGGGGCCGTCTAGGGGAATTTTGGTTGGACTCAAATTTTTGCCATTTACATGACTTGTGATCTACTCTTCAGGATGGGGGGGCGGGTAGGGGGTCTGTAAGAATGTTAGTGTTGGGACACAAAGGTGCTCAGTCAATGCTTGTGGCTCTATTCAGGATTATGATCATGCCCATCACTGCCACCCTCGTAGGCATCTCCCTGGGGGACTCCCGTGCTGCTCCTGACCAAGCTCATCTGTGGGCTGCAGGCAACGGCATTGATTTCACACCTTAGCAGCAGCTAGAGCACACCGCTGGGCACTTGATGGCCTCACACAGGGCCATCAGCCCCCCTGCCCCCCAACTCTACTGCAGCCGGCCGCTGCCAAGCTGCAAGTGGAGCAGTGCCCTGCCAGGCGTGCCCACGGCCACCAATAGATACATTCAGCTGCTGATTTAGATGGAAATAAACGCTTATGAATGAATTATGGGTGTGAGGCGTCAGCTTGTGGATGAGCCGCAGCTGCAGCTGGGATGCGGCCGAGGGATGCGGCCGGGAAATAAGATGGCAAGATGGCTCCTGGGTACCCTTCCCCCGTCCCGCCATTGGAGTCTGGCTCCAGTCGAAGTCCAGCTCCCCCCCGCTGGTCCTCCTGAAATGTGTTGTTTGCCTTCACACACAGGACTTGGGGTGAGGAAGGGCTCCCCTCCACTCCCACTATGCTTTCATTCCAGAAATACTGCCAGCAGTCACTATTTGAGAATTAGAGCCATGTCAGCTATAATTAGGCTGTCTCTCTTAGAGCTTCATGGAGTTATGTCGACTGGCCATTGCATTATATCTTCACGCTGTGGGGAAGGAGACCCTGGGAACTGGAGCTGCGCAGTGTGCAGCCTGAGCAACCATACAGAACTGTCCTGTCACCCCATAGGTACCGTCTCTGTCCTATGACTAGCTGTCTGTCCGCCTGACCACCCAGAGTCCTCAATGCTTCTTAAATATAGGACTATCTGGTGCTGCTCAAGTCCAAAAGGAAGACAACTTCCTCTCCTCCCTACAGGTGAGACCCGAGAGGGGGCTGGGGGCACACAGGGCTCCCTGTGGCAAGTCTCCCTGCCCTAGGACCCACTGCAGTGGGCCACAGAGCCCCTCAGCCCTTACCACGTAGAGCAAACACCCATGCAGCCTTTCCCACACACCAAGTCCATCTTAAGTGCTTACACAAGTGAACCCATTTCAGGCCAACAAGCCCCCGATGAGGTATTATTACAACCCCTATTTCCAGGTGAGGATGGAGACAGAGAGTTAAGGTAACTCGCAGGTATCACTAACCGTTTAAAGCACAGGCAGGAGCTGAACTGAGACAGGCCAGGGCCGGGGAGTTGGTGTTGCTGTGCTGCCTCTCTCTACAACCACAACAATCACTGCAAAGTGCGCCCCCTGGGGGTGTGTTCTGCAGTGCTTGTTAGACTTTTCCTTATTTACCCCTCACAAAAGATGCCCTGCCCTCACACCCTGTCTCTCTCAGCCCAAATTTGCTTCAGGGTCTCCGCCCCTCACCTCTTCATCATCTAACCATCTCCCCGCCTCTCTGCCTTCAGGTCCCTGAAAGAAGAACATGTGAGCAGACAGGGCTCCTCTCCGCCCAGGCTGCACTTCACCGCCCCCTAGAGGCCTTTATTTTTTTCCCTTAGCACCTTAGGATCTATTTCCTCAAATAGAAGATTCTATCAACTTAAAGATCTAC